GCGGCCCAGCCGGTCGGAGCGGTCCACCACGAACAGGCGGTTCTTCTTGACCACCTTGATGGGCAGCCGGTCGAACTTGCTCGCCTGCTTGGGCGTCTCCGCGGGGGCGGCATCCGGGGAGGCGAGGGCCGCACCGCTCCGGTCCTCCTCCGCCTCGGCCTTCTCGCCGTCCTCCTCGTCCTCGTCCTCCTCCTCCTCGTCGTCCTCCTCCTCATCCTCCATCCCCGCGGCGGCGGCCTCCTCCTCCTCTCCCCCTGCCGCCTCGGCGGGGGGCGAGCCCTCCCCTCTGCGCGCCTGCCCCAGGGCTTTTTGGCTGGGGTCTCCCACTTCGTACTCCATGAGAATCCCGAAGATGTCGATGAGGCATTTTCTGAAGTACTCCACCAGAAGCTCAAGGAACCCCGACAGCTAGAGAGGAGGAGGGGGGCAAGAACAGACAGCAGTCAGGACTGGGGGTGGGGAGGTGAAGGCCTGCCCTCCTTTCTCAGACCCCCGTTGGCGACAATCTGCCCTGCCTTCGACCCTGAAACCCTCCCCCCACAGCACACTTCTTACCCTCGGTACCCTCTCCTCCAGCCCTGGGGAGGACAACTCAAATACATCCTCCTGAAAGGAGATGCGGGCAATGTAAGATGGGGCCTCAGGAGACTGGAAGGACAAGGGGGGAGGGTCCGCTTGGACTCTCGGCTAGCACCCTGCAGTTTGTGGGTCTGCTGCTAACCCAGGGAGCCCCTCTGTGTGGCTGTTGGCGGCCTCTTACCCACCTCTCCGCATGAGACAGCACGCTGGTTATTAGAAGGGTGGATGGGTAGGTGAGGTTTATAGACTTTTCCCCCAAAGTGAGTCTTGCCAGGGTGTTTCTGGGTATTACCCAGGGTTTTACCATTATTTGTGTCTCAGGGACCTTAGGTACCCTCATTTTTGTTCGCCACGTCTCTTTTAGGGACGATCATTCCAGCACCATTAGTAGCTCATAACCATGGGAAATTACAAGCGCATCGATCTGGTCCCTGATGAATGAATGGGGATGTGCCACAGGGCGCCACTTTGCGCCTCCGTTACTCACGGCTCTGCTGAGCCACGGAGCATCAGCTGTTCGTATCAGAGGAGACAGCACAGCATGACCCCTAACCCCCATTCTCAGTCCAACCACAGCCGTGTTTAGGGCCGAGAACGAATGAGTAGACACAGCTCTCCACGAACATGGGCTTCATGCAATGTTTATGACCTTATTAAATACACTGCCCAGTGACTGAAAAATGGCCTTTCTGGGCTACTGTGGGGACGGAAACAAAGAGAAGGAAGAGAAAATGGAAGATTCTGGTCTCATTTCCACCGGAGCGCGGAAATGAGGTTTTCTGGCTCCCCTGCCCTCAGCTGTGCAGGGGCAGGCTGTTCATAAGCGGGAGCGAGGCCCCTGTCCGCATCTGCTTTACAGCGGCCCTTCCTTGACAGGTCTGTAGGGCAAACTGCTCTGGGCGGGCGGGCTCTCTCTCAGCTATTATGTGCAAAGCTCTTCTAAGCCCAGCTCAGAACACAAGAGGGTTCAAGTGCATTAAGAAGCACTTGGCTTTTCAACGACCGCTTCAGGGTAATCGGGAGAGAGGCACAGAGGGGTAGGGGCACAGACCCAGATACAAGCTGGGCCGTGAGTTGACCGCTGGTTTTGCGGGGCTGACACACGCTCCGCCTGGCTCTCTGTCCTTCTGAAGACTGAGCTGCCAGCTCACTGGCCCTTCCCTGAAGAATTCTGCGTGCTTCAATGTCCGCCACGTCCAAATGGCACTTTGGGCATCCTGGGAGGTCTCCCGGCATGTTCCTTTTGGATGTTCTTTGAGTTTGGGGAACATACAGGAGTCAAAAAAGACAAGGCTAGGCCTTCAGGGGGTGTGGGTCAAGTACATTCCTGAGGAAATACTCACAGAACAGCCTGGGCTATCCTTCCTAGCTTTTCCCCTTTCCAATGTGGTTTTACACAAGCAAACAAAGTAAAACAACAGACTTCCTCCTGAGCGAGCCCCCATCCGTGTCTGTGTCCAGGAAAACCTATCAAAGATGGCCCCCTTTGAGTCCTAAAAAACACAGTTGCCATTGTTCCGGAGCTAACGCTCCGCCTTGAATGTAACTGGCCCAGCGGATCCCCTTGGAAGCCACTGTGTCTTGGCCGCACCGTTTCTGGGAAGGCCCCCTCACGAGCCAGAGGCGAGAACATTTCTGAGAGAATTTGTCTGCAGCCACCCACTGATGGCAGAAGACACGTTGAAACACACTGTGTTTGGAACAAATCATTTCCAAATTGGAACTGGAACCTGACCGGCACTTCTGTTTGACTTGCCCTCGTCTACGGATGGCTGGTTTACGACGACAAGTGCTGAACGCGCTGGCTACGTCAGTCAGGTTTAACTTAGTCTGGGTCCTCAGGTGGGCCCGGCTGACTTACCTGGGAGAGATTGAAGGTGGCGACCGTGCTGTCATCATACAGGAGGATATTTATAGTGTCCAGAGCCCAGGTGCTCTCGGCCAGGAGACCTGATTTGAGGGACATCATCACGCGCCAGGCCTCAGGAGTTACTGAAAGCAGGAGCACAATCAGCATCAGCTCGGTGCCTTGCAAGGACAGATCAGTGATGAGGATAAAGACATTCTCATTTTGTTTGGAGTGTGGGAAGAAGTCAACTACTGCCTTTTAAGCGGCTGCTTTACGAGAGACTTCAGCAGGGTCCTCTCTAGGTTTTCCGTGGGGCGGATGACCTGAACTATGGCACTCTGGTTGTTTAAATCTGTCCCTCTGTTGGTTAAACCTGGGCCCCACGTGCTTCCAGCTGTGGGCTGGTGAATACAATGGCTTTTCTCATCTTGGGGCTCTTTCTCTGTTGCCATTTAAGAGACTCTGCAGTGGGGTCCTCAGAGATCCGAGTCACTGAATCGACCCTCCCAAAGTGGCATCTTTCTGTGGAGGGGTGGCAAAAGCAGAGTTTCGGCCAAGTTTAACTTCCAACCAAGTACCTCCTGGACGGTCCCACGCAGCCCCCTCCATGTCTGGGGCCTGCCCCACGGCAAGCGGTGAGAGCCATCCGCCTCTTGGCAAGTCCTGCTTTTCGGGACCTCCCTCAGTCTAAGCTCAAGCGTGGGACGTGGAAGGGCTGGACCTCCTACGCCCCAGCCCTGCCCCAGCTCCTGACCTTGCAGAAAGCAAAATGATGAGATGCTTTCCCAGTGTTCCTACGGCGGGGCCAGGAGAACAGTCTCATCGTGCACCTGCACTTCAGGTGGGTGTGACGTGTCACAAGGGCTTGGGCAGGGGCACCAGCAGTGCCGTCAGACCGTCATGGCCGTAGGGAGGCCCACCCAAAGGGGGCCGGTGAGGGGTCGGGGGCTGGGACTGAGGGCAAGTTGTTCTACATTTCCGTCAGTCCTCTCTACCGTTCAAAGGTTTGCACACGGGCATGTACTACATTCGTCACAGAAAAGCCAATTTTCTTTGTAAAATTAGGAACATATATTTCTCTGGGCTGGAGGCAAATACCGATATAGCAAGCACTAAGTCATTTAAAACATTTAAATACTATTTATTTAAAGATGCACACACACATCCATATCCACATGTCTATCTCCTCACTTTGGGTATTAATTATATCCAGTGACTGAACGTATCTTACTTTCCTAATCATGGCAAATGATTTTAAACCAAGTGACTTTGAGAGTTTTAAAACATTTCTCTTTATGCATTTGACCTCTATCATTTTTTTGCTCTGTTGAAACTCAAAAACCAAACTCACTGCCATTGAGTTGATTCCAACTCATAGTGGGGTAGAACTACCCCTGTGGGCTTCTCGGACTAACTTTTTATGGGCGTAGAAAGCTTTGTTTTCTCTCTGAATGGCTGGTGGTTCGAACTGCTGACCTTGTGGTGAGCAGCCCAACGTGTAGTCTCTACATTGACAGGGCTCCTCTTTACCGTGTTAAAAATACCTCAGAAATAATGTGGAGACTGTGTGCACTTCCACTATCCTAAACCCTTAATTAGTATTGGACATTCCAGTAGGATGATGCAATATAGTCAATTAAGACAGCCCTCAAAGCCATAATTCCTAATGTGATGTGTTATAATTCTGGACTCTGTCTGTTATCCCATTTTGGAAGGGATTCTCTGCCAAGGTAACGGACCAAGATTGAGGCGGGACTGAGTCCTGAGGTCAGTAGAGGGTGGGAGCCAAATCTCGGCCCTGGTTTCCTGGGGGGTATGGTCCCTGAAAGACAAACCCACCCCTCCTTCAGAGCCGCTCCTCTGTGTCTAAGAGCCGTCTCCGAGGCTGAAACACAGAGCGAAGTGTGGAGCCCATCAGAAGAGAACGCTCCAGAACTCCGTCAGAAGTGGCCGGGACCAGAGGCCCTAGACTGTGGCACAGAGACCATAGGACAGAGTAAAGAACCCAGGCCGAGGCCAGAGGCCCAAATAAGGCAACCAAGAGGCACAGCAGAGGTGCAGGCCAGAGACAATGGGACTATGCGGCAGAGAATTGGACAGGCGGGCTTCCCGGTCCAGAGAAGCAGAGGCCATGGGCCATGGGGCTGAGAGGCTGAGGACCAGAGGGACTTGGCTACTGACAGGAGGGGTTGCTGTGGACCCAGGACTGTATCCTTATGTTCACGGATCCTGACTGGTCACCTCTAACACGTCTTTAATAGACACCCCTAATCGTAAGCACTGGCTGTTTGAGGCCGATGCAGTAAATGATAGAACCCGGCCAAGAAGCTGCATGCTGTGGGGTGGAGGCTGAAGTCATGTCTGACCCCTGCCTCCTGGCACAGACCAGACATGCCCCCCCCCACCGTTTCCACAGATGGACACTCAACCTTAGTTAGCATTGACTGAAATAGTTCCACGCGCCAACTCTTAATGTGCTGTACGGATTCACCAGCTCCACACTTCCCCAGGCCAGTCCTCCCTCTGTCCAGCACGTCGGACAGGACAGCTCCTTAAACCCCACCCACAGCGCTCAGAGAGGTCTGTCACCCACCTAACATCCACACAGAGACGGGCCAGTGAAGGCGAAAAGGGTCTTCATTCACACTAGTGGATTCCAGGGAGATGAATGGGAGCGACCTCTAACCTAAGGAGCTCTGGCGGTGGAGTGATAAGGTCAGCAGTTTGAGACCACCAGCCGCTCTGTGGGAAAAAGAGGCTTTCGGCTCTGACAGACTCAGAAACCCACAGAGGGCAGTTCTACTCCGCCCAAAGGGGGGCTCTGAGTAGGAAGCCGCTCAGGGCAGCGAGCTCTCCAGACCTCTGGAGGGGCAGCTGATAAGGAAGGCCCTGAAGGAGGTGGACTGACACTGAGGCCGCCACTCTGGGCCCGGGCATGGGCACGGTTGTTGAGGATGGCGCAGGGGCGGGCAGGGTTTTCTTCTCTGTGCGTGGGGTCGCTGCGGGTCAGACAACTCGCTGGTACCCAACATCAACGCCAGATGAAAAGGGGGCGCCTCACCCCGATCCCCTTGGTGGAGCGGGGCGCAGGGCCAGCTTACTTACCAATGTCTTTTGAGGTAATCTTCCGCCTCTGTTTCAAGACGGGCTGCGAGGCTTCCACGGAGCCGGCAGGAAAGGTGAGCTCCCTCCGGATGGGGGGTGGCTGGGGCGCTGGGCCGGCCACCTGCGAGGAGGGCCCCGAGGGCATGGCCTTCTGCATCTTCATGGAGGGCAGGAAGGGGGACTTGCTGGGCGACATGCGGTTCTCCAGGGCGCGCTGGAAGGACGCGGGGCTGGGCGCCCTGGAGCTGTGGTTTGGCAGTGATGGTGGTGTCTGGTAGGAGGACTGCGGGGGCCGCGTGAGGGGCTGCATGGAGGCGGACGACGGCATGTAAGGCTGACGCTGGCTGACGTGGGAAGGCCACTGGCTCTCGTGATTGATCCGCTGGTCGGGCACCAGCATCTCCTCGGTGCGGCTCACGCCGGGGTAGGGGGGCGCCTGGGCTGGGCCGCCGGGGCCCTGCCGGGCCTGGTAGGGATAAGGCATATCGTTGCGCGCCGCCCACACGGGCTGCTGGGGACCCTCGCTGGAGGCGGCCTGCAGGGGCCCACCCAGCATCTGCGGCGGGAGCCCGTGCGGCTGCATCTGCCCGGGCGCCTGCAGCCGCTCCCGGTTGTAGGGGTACGGGTACTGGCCCTGCAGGGGCCTGCGGTCCGGGCCCGAGTAGGAGCCTCCGTACTGGCCGTACAGCTCCTGCTGCTGGCCGCCGTACTGCATGCTGTACACGTCGCCCTCGTGGCGCTTGGCTGGCGGCCCATACATGCCGTCCATGTGGCGCTTGTAGTTCTGAAACCCAGAGAGACCCATCACTCACCATTATACACCTCGGGGAGGCCCTCCGGGAAACGAGGGACCCATGAGTTACAGGGCAGGAGGGCCTCCGAGGTGGGTGCCCCGGGAACACGGCATCCTCCCGCCCCCTTGGCCCTGCCCAAGGCTGCCGGAGCTGGGACAGCCACGGTGTGTGGCTTGAGGGGTGGCATCAGCGAGGGGAAGGGACCAAGCCTCAGGAGACCAAGCCCGGGCTCCTCAGACTGGGCAGTATCCCTGACACACAGTGTTCTAGGGGGACCCCCTCCCCAAGTCCAGCTGGTCAAAGTCAGACTCGCTCCGGCCTGGCTCCAGCTTCTGGGGAAGACAGCGCTCAGGGAGGCGGGCTGCCCCCGGTTTAATGCCTGTCCTGTCGCGTTACAGAAACGTCATTTCAAGTCAGTTAAATTAGCCCTCCAGTGAAATGAAATGTTTTTAGCCTGCCTTTCGGTTAAAACACAAAAAACAACAACAACAAAGAACCCACTTGCCAGAGGGCCCTGGGAAAGCTGTTTAGAAATGAGCAGGTCCTCGGTGCCCGAAAGCCACGCTCAGACCCTGCTCTCCCAGTGGGAACGGAAAATACATTTGGCCTCGTTAGTCGGGGACAAAGCAATCACATACAAAACCACCGCACACCGGGAGCCATGGCGTCAGCTCTGACGCACGGCGACTGCGTGCGTGCATGTCGGGGTTGAGCTGCGCCCCACAGGGTCTTCAAGAAGCACATCGGCAGCCCGTTTCTCCCAGGGACCTCTGTCCTTTTAGGTGAGCCGTCCCACACGTACCCGCGTTTCAGTCAAGGTCTAACTATGCCACCATGGAGGTTTTATCGTTTTAAAAAAAAAGCCAGGTAACTTTAGCTAGCAGCCTAGTGCATTTTACGTTGCTTTTCCTACATGTCTTCTTCCAGACAGGTGCGACCCGGGCAGCCCGCCCGTCAAGACGCAGGGTTAAGCTTGCCCTAGCTGGGGCTCGTGACTGCCCACAGAGACGAAGGCATCGATTGCCAGGCAATCGGCGACACGACACGTGTTTCAGGAGGCTGAGCTCGTGAGCGACATTCCACTGGCTGACTTCTGAATCCTAAGAACCTTCTTTGGCACGAAGCACACTGACCCCGAATGCCCCATGGGCGCTGCGCCGTCTTTGTGGGGCTCTTGCACCACCTCCCCACTTGGACGAATCTGACCAAGGCCTCCAATACCCTGACTGACTCACCGGTTGCTGCGGATACAGGCCAGGCTGGTGGCCTCCATATGGGGGTTGTCCTGAGGGAGGGCCTTGGCCCGGGTACTGCTGCCCGTATGGTTCATGCCTAGAATGAGGCATTCAGAATAAACATACGTGATGTCAAGCTCCGGGTCGGCAGAGACAAGCTGCCCATTTCTGGGAGCCCCACACGCCAAGCCGACTCTGCCTCCCCCACCACACACCGCTCCCAAGTGAGATGCTCTGAGCGGCAGGCATGCTCATTCCAGCCCCCGGGAACGCCCATCCGAAGGCACGCGGCCAGGCCCAGGGTTTGCGCTGCTGCTTCATGGGAGCTGGGGCAGACCGGTCGAGCAGGCAGTCAACCTGCAACTACGCGTCAGAGCCTCTGCCTTTGAGGCAAGGGCCCATCCCGGCCCTCCGCGTTTACAGGAGAAGCATCGGACCACTCAACCGGGCGGGGCGGGCCAGCGCACGGGACGCTAAGGCTCACACATCCCAGCACTCCGGCCCCGCCTCCGACTGCACCCTCCAAACAGCCCTCTCAGTGCACCTGGCACCAAAGCCACTGAGCACCTGTGCATACTGGCTAAGTAGGAGGGACACAGGTCTGGTCACTGCCAGCTAACTGACTATGGCTCAAGGAGCATGAGAGACAAACAGACAGACAGACAGACAGACAGACAGCCTAAGAACTGTCTGTGCCGGGCAGGGTTTTCAGGGGCTGAATGTTAGAAGCAGACTGCCGGCATTTTCTTCCGAGGTGCCCTGGGTAGGCTCGTGTAGCCGAGGTTTTGATTAGCAGTTGAGCACGGTAATGGTGGGCACCACCTGGAGCTCCGGGTCATAGGAAATGCCACCAGACCCGCTGTGGTGACACCACTTCCCACTCATGGTGACTCGGTCGGACAGAGAGGAGCTGTCCCCATGGTTCTGAGATGAAAGATTGAGGGGAGGGAGCAGGCAGCCTCACTCTCCTCCTGTGGTGAGGCTAGTGGGTTTGAACCGCCGCCGCCGCTCCACCACCAGGTGCCACCAGGGCTCCTCTTAGGGGGTAGCACCTTGCCTTGAGTGTGTAGGGGTTACACGTTTTCAAGACAGGGATTCAGGGAAACTGCTGGAAAGTCACCTTGTTTGGCATAGCAGTGAGTTTTCACGTTTGGTTCCCTTTCGTATTAAACCAATGAACCTTCGTTCTTAACGATTCCCTCCCTCTGAGCCAGCAGGGAGGGGCTGGATTGAGCACCCCCTGCACGACGCTGGCTGAGGCAGCCTCAGCACCAAACACAACCCCGTGCCGGGCCTGCCACGCATGGCCATCCAGAGGCTTCTCCTGTGCTCCCGGCTTTATTTTCCTTAAAACAATCAAACAAACCCACCAACCCACAATATTAGATAAAAGGCTTTGCTTCTAAGCATTGCCCCGACCCCCTGGATAAAGGGGAAGGGTGCCTGCAGGAAGAATCAGGGTCTGCGTTACAGGAAGCAGGGTCCCGAGGGGCCTGCTGCAGGACACACTGACTTCCCAGGGACCCAGCCAGAGCTGCAGCCTTCTTGGCAACTTGTCACCCCCGGGAGGAGCATTCCATGTGTCCCCGCCCACGTGAGAGCCAGGCCCGGGTCACCCCGCGGGAGCTCCTGGTCGCCATGCACATCCCGAGAGTTCTTGGAAGTTCCCAGAACAAGGAGCACGTGGGCCCGAGGGAGGATGTCTCTCACGTGGGCTTCGCGGGTATGGGCTTATAGAGCACAGCTGCACCAGCTGCCCACCGGCAGCCCCAGCTCCCAAGTGCCTGCTGGCACAGGCTCAGGGCTGTGTGGGAAGGACACAGAATTCCCAGCCCCCACCCCCACCCCCAAGCCCACTCACCTCCGGTCGTAACTGGCCCCGTAAGGGAACTGCTGCCGCTGGCCCATGCCCAGGCTGGACATGGCTCCCGCAGGACTCTGGTTGTACATGTCCTGCATGCTGCTGTTGGCCGCCTGTCCTTGCGTCATGAAGGGCTCGCTGCTTCCAGGCACTGTGGCATTTGGAAGGGGGTGGGAAACAAACACACAAAGCCCAGTAATATTAAGCAATTTCAAGTCAAAGGAGGTAAAGAGCCTTTCTGGTTCTGTCTGTTGTTTTATAAAATGGTGTCAAATCTTTACTGTGGCGGAGAACGCTAGCTACTCAAGAGGGAGCACGCGTCCTGGGCTCAGGACAGGCCGGGCAGTGGGCAGAGCCTACGAAGGCCCTGTGATTTCTGGGGTATCCCTTACCTCCCTCAGCACACAGGTGGCGCTCAGGGAGTTTGCAGGTGGGGCTGCGGATCATCACAGGCAGGGGAAGAGCGAGCCCCCCCGTGGGTTTGTTTCTCGGTGCCTATCCGACAGCTGTGTTCACACGACACTAGTGCCTCTTTAGTGGGCGGTACACGGCATGAGAAAGATGGCGGGGCTGTGTGTGGGAATGACCAACACGTGACCCAGTGAGAACACACTGTTGGAAACACGGGGCCAGCGGACTTGCTTGGCGTAAGACGGCCACAAACCTTCCACCAAAATGCAGTCTGTCTGGGATGAGGCCCTCCCTTGAGTGTGGGCAGGACATGTGGCTAGGATGGTGTGATGGTTAAGGCTTTGTGTGAACCTGGCCGGGCCAGATGGAGCCCTGGTGGCAGTTCTACCCCGTCCCGTGGGGGGAGCTATGAGTCAGAATCAACTGTATGGCAGCGAGCTTGGTTTCCTGGTTTGGGCGGGGGCAGGATCCTCAGTGGCTTGGCAGTTCACACCTCATAATCCCCCCTGATGTGTGCTGACATATGCCATCATCTCCATACTGGGATCTGCTAGGAGCAGCCAATCAGCTGTAAGAAAGATTAGGGTGGGATGCGACGCAGTTCCAGTCAATTGAAAGGAAGTTTCCTCAGGGGAGTGGCTTGCTTCTAATATAAGTGGACACTGTGGCAAAGCTTGCTTGCTTTCTCTGGGTCTGGATTCTGCATCTGCTTTGTCCTCTGGCCTCGGGTCCTTTAGACTTGAGCCAGTGGCTGGCCCTATTTCCCACCTACCCTGGGAGTCATCGGCAGCCACAATTTTCCCACCGAGGTAGGTTCATCAGCCCTGGTAGTTACGCGAGTCAGTTAGAAGTCTCCAGCTGAGTATCAGACCCACGAGCTTGACTCAAGCACGTGTGTATCTTGAACCTGGGTCTGGAGGATAAAGACGGTAGGGCGGAGCCAGTCTCCTGCTTCCACCCTGTGTGGAGGGAGCTTCCTTCCTCCAGGAAGGGCCAGCCGCCTCGAGTTGCTGAAAGCGGCCCCAGATGACGGGCAGCAAGCAAACAGGAACTGAAACGTGTCAACCACCGGAATGAGCTTGGAAGAGGATCCTGGGCCCTGGATGAGAACTGTAACCCCAGGCAGCTCCTTGAGTCCAAGGTTGGGAGGCTCTGAGCAGAGCCCACCCACACCGGCCACCGGAACTGCGCAAGAATGAACCACTGCTGTTTGAAGCTGCCGAGTTCACACGGAGCTGATAGGCAGGAACGCGCCGTGTACACGACCGACGTGGGGCCGAGTTGCACTCCTTGGCTAACAGGAGGTCCGTGGCACCAGTGTCATGGGTGCTTGTGCAGAAGAAACAAACTACTGCCTATCATGCCAGTCCCTGCCCTCACAGGAAGGAGGAAGAACAGTAACCCTCCACCCTCCCGCCACCTCGTTCCAAAACTAGAGTGGAGAAAGTTCACAGGGAGTAAGAATAGCTCAGGATGGGACGGTGCACCTATTTCAGGCCCGGGGGAAAGCCAATTAGGTCAGAAATGCGAATGCGGGTCAGCTCGGAGCCCCACGGAACTGGGTCATGCCCAGAAATGAGCCTGTGGGCAAATTAAAGCCTTTCACGTCAGTGTGAATTGAGACACACCACCACCACCATCTCTGGCACACATGCACAAGTTGAGGACCGTTCTGAGAGCTGGTAAGGTCGGGGAGGGTGGCGGGGAAGAGCCGGCCGCAGAGCCGACCCTGGGGAGTTTTCGATGTCCTCCCACACCTGTCCCCTCCTCTGCTTCCTCAGCCTGACGCAGGGCCGGCTGTGCTGACCAGGTCTATCTTATGGAGGTGAAGACAGGCAGGCAGAATAAGGGGCCTAATTAAACAGCCTGGGTCCCTAACACACAACAGTTCTTAAAAATCAATTAAAAAAATAAAAGGACAATGGATTGAGACAGGCAGACACAGAAACACCCAGAGAAGAGAGACAATGTGTCGATCAACACATGGAAAGTTGGGTGACTGCACTAACGATGAAGCAAATCCACGCTGGATTAATTAGATGCTGAAAATGTTTCACCTCTCAGCCTGCTTGCAAAATACCCAAATGACTCATAAACATTCTCTCTGAGGCCAGGGACCTTGCTTCTTACACACGGCTGTGGAGGGGACAGGGCGTGAGGGCACCTGTGACGTTGACCGAACTTTGGTGCACACCCAAAGACGCACACATCTCCATGTGAGGTCCCCTCATACAATGACTTTGGGGCTTGGCCAGGCGACTAGCCTTTTTGTTTGCTTGTTGTTGTTGTTAGTGAGAATCAGACCAATTACACAAGGTCTGCCTGCACCCTGCAGTGGTGCATCAAGTCAGGCAACCCCCTGACCCTCTTTTTCGGAATGGTTCCTCCCTCATTCACACACACCCTTTGCCCTTCAAGCTGGCCAAACGCACTTTCCATCCAATGGGTTTGAATCACAGCCACCCTACAGAACAGAATATACTAGTAACTGCCCCTTTGGGCTTGTTTCCAAGGCTGTGAATCTTTACCGGAGCAGCCAGCCTCACCTTTTGCCCAGAGCGTATGGGAATCCCTGACCTTGTGGTCAGCAGTCTGATACCTAACTCCCTGTTGCCACCAGGGCTCCATACGATGGGTCTTCAAAGGTCGATGCTCAAAGCAGGCTCATTCTTGCTAATGAAACTTGCCTGTGGCTTAGCCGAAAGGCTTCAGGGCACAGTGTTGGTTTCATGCGTGGTTCTCAACCTTCCTAATGTCACCACCCTTTCATACAGTTCCTTATGTTGTGGTGGCCCCCAACCATAAAATTATTTTCGTTGCTACTTCATAACTAATTTTGCTAGTGTTATGAATCATAATGTAAATATCTGATCTGCAGGATGTATTTTCTTTTTCTTATTTTAATCTTTTAAAAAATGATTTGTTGGCATATAATTCATCTATCAGATAGTTTGAGTTCAGTCATATGAACAGTCATCACCACAGTCAATTTCAGAACATTTCTGTTTCTTGTTCTAATTATTAATTCTCTATTTCCCTCAAATTTCTCCTGCCAGGCCATAGGTAATTAATAATATGGTTACTGTCCATATAGATTTTTGCAGGATGTATTTTTATTGTTACAAATTGAACATAATTAGAGCTTAGTGTTTACGCAAGCACAAAAACAATATGGAATTACATATTGTGAAACACTATTTCTAATGACAAAGAAATAAAATGTTGTCTTGAAGCATGCTGTAGCATGGGTAACAGTCTTCATGCCGGGTACTCGTGTGTGGGTGTATCTGCATGTGAGCAGACCTGCCTGGAGATGGATAGAGGAGTGGTGTCTCCGTTCCTAAGACCATCGGAAATATGTCAGCAACTGTGAAAGGGGCGTTCGACCTCCAAAGGGGCTGCGACCCCAGGTTGAGAACCGCTGGTTTAACGTTCACAGAGGATCTCGGGGCAACCGTTGTGGAGGTGCTTCAGCTGCAGTAGCTCCACATGGCCTCCAAAGTTTGGGTTCCCTAGAATCTGACATTCTGTGCTGTGCGCCCCTCCTTCTGATGCTCTAAGGACTCTGAAGCAAACATTCAGGAATGGTGGCTGGACACAATCCAGCTCGTCTGGGCTCACTGAACGCAAAGCAGGCATCTGATCCACAGGAAACCCTGAGAAGGAGCTGCACGATGGGGACCCTGATGGCTTGCTACAGGTTGGAACGGCTTCGATGGCACACAACAACAATAACACAAGTCTTTCAGGATACTGACAAACTTGGGAAGGACAGTGGAAAGAAAGATAAGCGTTGATAGAAGAAATTAAAAAATGCCAATCAACCTATGAAAAGATGGTTTGCTGTACTAACAATGAAAATAACACTGAAAAATTAGAGGCTTAACGCTTTTTTTCCCCTCCCAATCTTCATGGTGAATATTAAAATGCCCCGTCATCATGCGTTCTGAGGGGTGAGGTATTTAAATGTTTGAGCTTATCCACCTGCTTTCCATCGGTCCATTACCTGGTGGAAATGGGGCTGTCAGTTCTGCTTCTCTCCATCTGGACAAAATACCAATACATTCACCTGCCCCCAGTAGCTGCGTACCATAGAAGCATTGCTATTTAAGCGATCCCAGAAGGAGTACTTCCATACAAATACCATTCGCTATTTTTTAACTATTGCTTTTCAGTAATATTCCCATCAAGTCTTAGATTTGCGGGACCGGCTGCACTGAGCGTCCGAGGGTGGAAAACCCGATGCCTCTTGGAGCTTGCAGGTCCCAGGCAGTGCGGCACCGACCGCCTGGGGCACGCCTCCCACGCGGGTGAGAACCTCCCGGCCTTGCTCAGAGGCCCTCCCTCCCTCCCCATCCCAGTGCTGGGGACACCACCTCCAGTGAGGCCCAGCCCTGCGACGTGAGAGCTACATCCACTCTGGGCTTGCCCAGACGTACACGCCATGGATGACTCCACCCCTCCACACTCCGGTCTGCTCCTGGTTTCCCTGCTGCCCGTTCCTTTCCCAGCATCTACCTGGCTCTCAGGACATCCTCGCCCCTGGCTCACTGTGCCTGTCTCCCACTACACTGGAACCCACCCAGAGCAAGGCCTGTTGCTTCTGCTTCCATCACACACATGGGAACCTCCTCGCCGAGGCCACTCAAGCCCACGCTGACCCCCAACCATACCGTCCCTAGAGAGGGCCACTTCTCCTTTTGCAAGACGAGTCAGGCCAAGTCCCTGCCGAGCACCTCTCACCTCGGGTCAACCCCAAACGTATCAACATGCTCAGAGGTCGGAAGGCCCCGGGGGCCCCACCTGGTCCCTCTCCCTGCTCTTCAGATTCCAGCACACTCAGCACGGGCTCTCCCACACCTGCCCCCACCCCCCCACTCAGGTCTCCGTGGCAAACGGCTCCCTCCTCAGAGCCCCCCCCACCCCACTGCCACCTGTTCCCTTTCTCCTGCACCCGCAGCACTCATGATGGACAGGTGGCTTCATTTGCTTCCGTTTCTCCCCCAGGAGACTCTGGCCAACTGCGCGAGGGAGGGGCTCTATCTGGCGGTGCTGTAGACTCGGCTTTTGCGCTGGGCTCACCCTGCCCACCAGCCTCCCTCCTGTGACGTGTCACGTGTGTGGACTCACTCCTCACACACCCTGCCCTGGCACCACCCCGGTTTCTACACGAGAAAACAGAGGCACAGAGATGCCACGTAATCTCCCCAAGGCCGGGGGCTGTGTGTGTGCGTGCGCTGAGGGAGCTGGCAGAGGGGAGAGCCTGGGGTGGGGACCCAGGGGAGTACCTTTTCTCATTCCACCAAAGGGGTCCTTGTTAGGCTCGTAAGGCATCCTGCCCATCATGTCCGGCATGCTCATGCCCTGCTGGTACGGGGCATTCGGGGTCATGGAGTTCCGTTTGGAGAATGATGAGTCACTGGCATCCGAGAAGGGGTCGTGCACGCTGATCGTGCCGCTTCTGCAGGTACATCACGGAGAGAGCGAGCTCAGTGGGGTGGCAGGAGCCCCCTCAGCCTGACTTTGTAACACAAAACACCGACCCATCAAGGGCTCAAGGCACTAGGGCCGTGGTTCGCAGCCTTCCTCATGCCGCCATCCCTTAATACAGTCCCCCATGATCCCCCAACCATAAAATTATTTTTGTAGCTAATTCATCACTGTAATTTTGCTACTCTTTTGAAACCGGGCGACCCCTGTGAAAGGGTCATTCGACTCCCAAAGGGGTCGAGACCCACAGGTTGAGAACTGCTGCCCTAGGGAGTCCCTCCGTCTCCCCCCCCCCCAACACCTTGTGGCCCTGAGGGCTAGCCTACCTCCCACCCTGCATTGGGGTCATCTGTCCGTGGGGGGTGGAGGCCGGCGTTGGTGGCTTCAAGTCACCTGGAACCTCTGCCATGGAGTTACTGCCAGTGGACTGCGGGGTCTGCGGGCCTTGCAAAGATCCTGAGTTAGCTGGCGAGCAAGAAAAGAGGGGACAGAGGGCAGCAGGTTATCAAAAGGACGTGTGTGTCTGCTACCGGAAAAACAAACAAACCCCAATAACCCACTGCCGCAGAGTCCATCTGGCTCATAGCCTCCCTACTTGGGTTTCCGACGATGCTGCGAATCTTCTACTGGGGCAGCTGGCCTCAGCGCTCTCCTGCAGAGAGGCTGGTGGGTTTGAACCAACAACCTAGAGGTTAGCAATCCACCACTATCCAACAGAAAATAATTGAAACAAAGCATTATTAGTAAGAATCCCAGTATGTGCGCTGCAGATAAAGATGTAGTGATGGTAGTTACTTGCAACACTTTGTGTAGTCAAAGTGAGCAAAGGCATTTTCTTTTCCCCCTTTTAACGAAACTGATGTGCTGGTGCAGTTCATGTGTGACCCAAACATTGTCTACCTTTGGATGGGGCAGAGCCTGCTCTTCTGGGTATTGGTCCTGAGAAGATGCTCTACCACGGGCACCCCACCTCCTGCCATCAATGGATTCCGACTCGCAGCTGTGCTACAGGGCAGGGTAGGACGAACTTCCCTGGGGGTGGGGGTGGCGGGTGGTTTCCAGGGCTGAAACGCTGCACCGAAGTACAGTCTCCGCTTTTTCTGATCAGGGCCCGGTACACCAAGCCACGGTCTTTTCGATCGCCTCATATGCATGGGAAAGTAGGACACCGATTAAGAAAGACGTTAGAAGATCGTGCTGACGAAGCACACAGAGAGCACCGTGGGCGCCGGAAGGGCAGCCAAGTCTATCTTGAAGACGTCCGGCCAGAGCGCTCCTGCAAGGCAAGGGTGGCGAGGCTTCGTCTTCCATACTTGGGGCGTTGTCAGGAGAGACTTGAATCTGGAGAAGAATGTTCTCCCGTGTCACCATCAGAGTTCTAAGATTGAGCTTCCAGTAGAGTTACACAGAGAAACAGAGCTGTGAATGGGGGGGATTCGTCTTCAAATCTTAAGTGGAAATGTGGAAATTTTTAAATGAAGCTCACCTCCCTCGGTAAGGAGGAAAAAAAACCCCTGGAAAACACCTTCTGAGGGTTTGTATTTTACCATTCGTTTCACCTGCCTGCTGTGGAGCGGACAACTCCCAGTGACCAGGGTCTCTGTGGGCTTCCAAGACGGTCTCTCTTTATGGGAGCAGGCAGTCTGGTTTTTCTCTGTAGAGCGGCCAGTGGGTTCAAACTGCTGACCTTGCAGTTAGTAACTTAACTCTTAACCCATAGAAAGTGTTTGACGAGTATCATTGGTTAATGAGTTAAACAACTACGTGCCTACAACAGCCTATTAAATGGACAAGACAAAAAGCCCTGCCCTTGGTGGGTTTACTATAGAAGACTCAGGTAGCATAAGGAAGTCCCCGTGTTGCTCCCTGGAAGAAAGACGGGGCTTCCAGGACCTGTGAAGCTCTCGTATCTGAAGCCCTCAGGGGCAGCTCGACCTTGTCCTAGGGGGCTTGGTTTGGGCTTGTAAGGAATAGCATTCCGCACTGTCACACCGTTCCCATGATTTGAATCGTATGTTGGAGTAAAACAAGGTGGCACAGGTCAGAGTGAGTAGGAGGGAGCAGTCGCTGGCAGGACCTCATCCCTACCTAGAGAGCGTCAGCTAGACGTAAGTCCTTCTGTGAGACGAGACAGGGGAATGGAGGCCCACCAAGCTGAGTCCTACACCCCAGGGCCCAGCGTGAGTTAGGGCCATCCTCAGAGAGGCCTGGGAGATGACCGGCAAAGGCCTTCTGAAAACCACACTGACTCATGCTTACAGGCTTGGTGAGGGCACAGCTCTGGCAAGCCGCGTTGGAAGCAGGTGGCCAAAAAAGAATAAAGGGGTGTCCTTTCCAACTTAGGGGGGTGGGCAGCAATATCCCTACTGGCGGAGATTACTGCTCCCTCAATCCCACCCTGCCAGTGACCCAACCCATGGGCCCTGCTCCCTGGAGGCTGGCTACCAGGCAGGGGTGTTAATAAGATGCTCTTTTACAGCAGACAGATCACTGCTTTCCTCGCAGGGAAAATCCCACGCACTGGTCCTTGCTGGGATATCCCCACCTTGTGCCTGAAGCTACAGACTGGCTGCAAAGCCAACAGTGGGAAGCTCATTTGCAGGCTTCAGACGGCCACCCGCCGTCTCTTGCTGGGAGGCAGGTTTTACCTGCAGGGACCTGGTGCCTGGGTCTGAAGGCTAGTAGCTGGCAGGTCCCTGGGCTCCCAAGGCTAGAGGTTAGCCCCCAGGCAGCTTGGTGACCACCTGATCCCCTTTCTCTTCCACAGAGGTGGCTCTGGCTGGATCCGGGACAGGCTCTGTGGCATCACCCGGCAGCTCACCATAGAAATCCAGACAGTCACGTGCCATCAGAGATGCGCTTTTGATCAGAGAGTTACTAACGGAACGGCCCTCCCCCACCAGGCTTGTTCACCCCACTGCCCAGGTACCCAGGGGTCCGGGTCTGCTTGGTTCATGGTACTGAGATCCTCCCAGGGCCCTATAGAAGCAGACCATACCCCAAGGCTGGGAGCCGTGGGAACACTCCTGACTGAGCGAGTGACCTGGGGCTAGGGCTGTGTGTGTGTGTGTGTGTGTGTGTGTGTGTGTGTGTGTGTAGTCACAGCTCCCTGAGGTGCACCGCATTTCATTTTAGATCGAGACTGAAACAAATAAAACCAGGTGCCATTGGGTCCACCCGCCAGCCCGGCCACCTGTCCTTATTGGGTGGTCTTCCGAGCAAAGGCCTTCCGACAACTGAATTGGCCACGCGTGTCCATGGAGGGGCCCTGGTGGGGTATTTACACACTGGGGCGCTAACTGCAAGGTCAGCAGGGGGAGTCCACCGGCTGCTCATCCACAGAAAGAGAGATTTACAGCTGGAAGCCCGGGGGGAGCAGTGCTACTCTGCCCTGCAGGGAGGCTAGGAGCTGGGATAGAGCGGAGGGAAGTGGGCGTGGCCTGAGTGGCTGTGCCCACGGGGAAGGTTCTGTCTGTGCATGGACAGACAGCAGGGTTACAGCAGGAGGCTTTAGTCTTGTCTTCTTGGATGTGGGCTCCATCTGGACGGCGGAGGAGAATGGCTTAGCAGACAGACTCCTGGGGGCCCGTGGGCCCAGGATGCCGTTCCATGGGCTTCTCAAGGGCATCTGTGGAAGCAGACCACCAGGCCCGTGGCTCTCGGGCCGTTCTGAACACCAGCCTTTCGGGTAGGAGTCTCACACTCGACCGTTTTCGTCACCCACTTACCCGTCAAACCCAAACTGGAAGACCCAGCTGCTCTTACGAGATAGTCACAGGGCTGGGTGGCTTCCGAGACTCAGAGAAACTCTAGAATTTTCTTAGGACTCTTAGTTTAGCGGCTTCGTACATGCCTGTGAGGAATTAGATATAATGCTGTTCTCTGGGGGGAAACTGACTTCAAGAGAACACAGATTTTGCTGACAGTGAACTTTTCAGCATTTGTGCATTGCGTGCCGGGAGCGGGTGGGGCGTGGGGAGCCCTGCTTTCAGGGCACCCACCGGTGTTGCGGGTGATGGTGTGATTTAGACACGGTGAGGGTGAAGGTTGTGCAACACAATGCATGTCATTAATGTCATCGAACTGAACCCAGAAAAATGTTGAAAAGCAAAATGTTTTGTTACAGACATTTTTGCCACTGTGAAGAGAAAAAAAAAAGAATGCAATAAACAAGATCCTGCTGTATTGAGCGAGTGGCCGGGGGGTTGATCCCCTCACTTCTGTGAGAATAACTATGTCTTCTTGGGGGTCCATGTGGAAGCAGGGCAGGGCCAGCCTCACGGTGCTGTGGAAAGCCTGCTTTGACAACAGGACCAACAGTCCGCTGCCCTCAGACACTCCCATGGGCCCTGTGAGCCCACTGGTGAGGCGTGCTGCTTGTGAAGACAGGACACTTTACTTCTACGACTCCCTGTTTTAGTTGGGTGGTAGTTACATCATCTGGTGTCTACTTGAGACTTAAGAGTGAAGGGGTGGAGTTTAGCCTGTCCATCAGGTGGATGCGTGGTGACCTCATGTGGAAGCACTAGGGAGAGAAATAGCTCGCTGGAGACAGGACACAAACACTCTCTGCTTGACTCCCTGCGAGACATTCCTGCTGACAAGCCACGTGGAGACCCCTGCCAGCGCTGAGATGCTTCTACTACCACTGGATCCACAAGACTTTCCACCCACTGGCCTGTGGTCTTCCTGCACTCAGCGTCAATCCATGTGTTTCGTGAGTCTGAAGAGGTATTTATAGATTGGTAGCAGACATATGGGCTCATACTGGACTTCCGGACAATCTGGACTGGGCTGGGCTCTTTTCTCCAAATTCAATTGCTCTTGTGTATAAAGCTCTTTCTTCTACACAAACGAGTGTCTATGAATTTGTTTCTCCGGTCAACTCTGACGACCACCATTGGACTTGGCGTCTGATGGAAGACAGAGAAGAGCAGATCACGGAGATCCGTCGCAACCCCAGCTCTCTCGTGCCGTGAAAACAGCAGAGCCGTCGGACAAAGGGCCGTTTAGAGAGAGGAGACGGCAAAGAGCAAGTGGGAGAGCAGCCGGGCTGTGCCCTCGAGGGTGGCCGCACCTCAGCCAGGCTGCCTGTCTGGCAGCTGCAGCTTCTGGCGAGGGTGGTTCTCTACACGCAGGTGCAGCCCAGTCCAATCAAACCCACGTGGGAGTTTTATTCTGGAAAAGGAGTTTCAGAATGGTTCATGGGAAGCTTGCTTTATACTGTCGAAGGAGCCTAACGCTGCAAACTTTTCAAAATTAGGTTTCACTTTTTTTTGGGGGGGAGGTACACCGTAACTGGCGAGGGGTAAGCATGGGGGCTAGAGACGAGCCTTTCTACCAGGTAGGGACCGGCTCCAGGTTTACGACTGCTAGTGCTCACTGGGCCAGAGAAGCACTCTCACGAGAGGAGATGGAGATTCGACTCTCTCAGGACACCCTGCGTGCATACGTGCCCCGTCACACAGGCAGCTGACGGCAGCACTGCGGCCTCCACACTGGGTACACATCGCGGGCAGACACGCCTCC